GCTCTGAGTTGTGACAAGGAGGACACTCCCATGCTGACGTGCCTCATCGGATAATGCTGTGAGCAGCACGCTCCATTCCTGGCACATCTCTTCCCACATGTTGTCTAGCACCAAAAAGAATTTACATCCTCCACTGATCTTGATACGGAGCTTGGTGATGGTAGCTTCCATGCTTTCATCGCCATTGAAAATAGCGCCACCGTGTCCTTGGAACGAATGCAGGATTTCTTGCAAAGTTCTTTTGATGGTGAAATCCTCAGAAACATAGACCCAAGCTCTATGCTCAAAGTGTTGCTTCACTCTGGCATGATTGTAGATGACCTGGGCAAGTGTTGTCTTCCCCACGCCACTCATACCGACTATTGGGAGAACAAGAATGTTGTGCCTGGCTGCTCTTACTTTACCAGTTCCAATGCTGGATTCTGGATGATCATGCTACGGTGATCCAATAATCACATTCAGGATGAACTCCTTGACCTCATCCCGGCCAAACACAGGGACATCTACCGGGAGATGAGAGCTGGCCTCTGCTGCCTTGTGCAGCTGGTTTGTTTTGGAATCATCCATCTTGATGAGCTCAATGAAAGTGGCTGAGGTTGCGCAGAGCTGTGTAAGGGTCTTGACGACATGTTCCAACCTTGTCAGGCTTTCATCAGGAATGACCAAATTCTTGAGAGATCTAAGGGATGACATCATGACAGTATGAGGTCGCTGGCCTTGCGCTTGCGGGTGATGTTTGAGCCGTCAACCTTGCGCTTCCTGAGCCGCCTCATGCAGGCGCATCAGCCAGTGGAGAAGGTTGGTGTTGGTGATGAGCGGCGGGCCCAGGATTTTCAACTTGGGTATTCGAAATTAGAAGAGATAGAAAAAATTGTTCAACCCAGAGTCTAATAATTGTATAATATATAACGGTATAAACATGATTTTATAAAGTCATAGATGGATGGATAAAATTGATCATAAATTGAATGTGTTAAGCATATTAGAGTATAATACTAAACTATTAATTGCGAAAACATATCAAATTTATAGAGTATACAAAATGGCAAAATGATAAGAAATCTTACAATTTAGAGAAGAACTTTCCATTTCTTGATATTTTGAAAATGATTGATGGTATCTTTATCCTGAACTTGCAAGAAGAAATCCCTTTTAATGAATGTAACCAATCCTTTTTTTCATGTTTCAAACCTACAAAACAACAGTATACTCTATTCAACCATAAATCATTCGTGGATTCAAATTTTAAATAAAAAATGTTCAACCATGAACAATATCCAACAGGCTAGATTCAACTATGAATTAAATCCTAATCTCCTGTATGGTTGTTTTCCTAATCCAAATTGTTCCTACTTCCTAACCATCTAGCCATCTAGGCGAGGATTGAAGGGAAGAGTTAGTGAGTTACCTTAGTGAGTGGAGTACTTGAGTGGAGGGAGGCAGGGGGCGGTCAGCTGCTCAGCGCACTGTGCACAGCCACAGCGCCTGTGGCAATGCGGCCAGCGGCCTGCCACCTGCGGTGGAGCCTGCCAGGCGGCACGCGGCGGCGTCCCGGCGGGCCGGCGAGTGGCGGCTGGAGCTTGGAGAGGGCGAGACGCGGGGGATGCCGGATGCACCGTGCGCAGCGGCTCCGTGGCTGGAGCCTGGAGGGTGGAGACGCGGCGGTGGCGACGTGGGGGATGCGCCAGGCGGGTAGCTGGCGATGGGGCGCAGCGCACAGGGCGACCGGCGCCGGCGCCGGCGCGTCGCCGCGTCGGTCTCGGCTGTCCTGGTGGCTGGATCGGGAGTCAGGAGACGGGGAGAGTTGGGATGGGTGGTGAGGAGACAGGGTTAGAAAGTGTTTGGGCTCTTTTTTTTTTTTTTTTTTTTTTTGCTATTGGGCCAATGGGCGTGAAATAGTGGGAGGAAGAGATGATGGGAGGGATATGAATCGTTTTTAGCTTGGGCTTCTTTTGAATGGTAGGTCTTTTTTTCTTTTTCATATATACATATGGAATATATACTTCATATATGTATTTTTTGTTTAAAATTCTTGGGTATTCATTTGAATACTCATGAATCATTGTAGGCCCGCCCCTTCATGAGCCGGCTGTCTGCCGCCTCAGATAGCCTTCACCATGGTGAGCTTGGCCTCTAGTTCGGCAAGCAACTCCTTGGCACGCTCCGGCAAATTGTAGTTGCTCTCGAGGCATCATTGCCACTGCCATCTTTCTCTCTCGAGGCAAATTGTGTTTAGTTCCAAAGTTTTTTTCCAAACTTCCAACTTTCTATCACATCAAACCTTTCATACACACACAACTTTCCAGTCACATCGTCTCCAATTTCAACCAAATTCCAAACTTTGGGTCAATCTAAACACAACCCTAATTAAAAGATACGAAAGATTTTCATAGCTTTTTTTCGTCTGTCATTGACTCTCAGTCAGCCCCGCTTCCTTTTTCTCTCCCTTCCAGCCTTCCGGACCTCCATTTATCTCTCACCTGTTTCACCTTTTTCTTTTAGGAGGATTTTGTATCTATCTATCTATCAATTATATTATTAAAACAGCTTTGAAAGAAGATACCACGTTCACTGTGGAGCCTATAAATTACCACATTAATCGAAGAAAAAGAAAAAATATTGACCGTTAGATTATAGTAGATCCATATTTTATTGGTCTTAGATTGATACAGAATAACTTTGTATTTATGGAAACAGGAGAAACAATAGATATAGGCTCCTGCATATAGAGTCATACAAGGATAGAAGGATAGAGTCTGACCATATCGATTAGATCGAACCCGCACATATAGATGTCCGAGTAGAAGTCATACACGGAAAAAAAAAAGGCATATGCATCTCCTGCACATGCAAATATATTCTGAGCTTTTTTCTTCCTTAGCACTTTATGTTCTTCAGTTCTTCCTTGAAACATGTCTCTACTGGTTCAGCGGATCTAGAAGATTGATTCGTTGATGTTATAATGTATCTACTGGTGTCATAGTATGCTAATTATACTTAAACCATGGTGTTATAATAAATGGATAAATAGTTTAACTATATGTTTTATCGAAAGTTGTTGATTTCGCCTAACACCGGCCGTTACACTGGAGATCCGCCCCTGGATGAGCTCAATGAAAGTGGCTGAGGTTGCGCAGAGCTATGTGAGGGTCTTGACGACATGTTCCAACCTTTTCAGGCTTTCATCAGCAATGACCAGATTCTTGAGAGATCGGGATGACAGTATGAGGTCACTGGCCTTGCGCTTGCGGGCGATGTTTGAGCCGTCGACCTCGAATTCGTCGAGGACATCTTTGGCTTCCTGAGCCGCCGCATGTAGGCGCATCAGCCAGTGGAGAAGGTTGGTGTTGGTGATGAGCCGGCTGTCTGCCGCCTCGGATATGGCCTTCACCATGGTGAGCTTGGCCTTTAGTTCAGCAAGCAACTCCTTGGCATTGCTCTGGAAAATTGTAGTTGCTCTCGAGGCATCATTGCCACCGCCATCTTTCTCTCTCTACAAATCTATACCTAATTAAAATATACGAAAGATTTTCATAGCTTTTTTTCGTCTGTCATTGACTCTGAGTCAGCCCTGCTTCCTTTTTCTCTCCCTTTCAGTCTTCCGGACCTCCATTTCTCTCCCACCTATTTCACCTTTTTCTTTTAGGAGGATTTTGTATTTTCTTTAATAAGTCCGATCCACTGCAAGCTACGTGCGCCTCTAGCTGCCGGCCAAATCCTAGCACCGTTGCCACGTCGATTTGCCTCATACGTTTCCTCCTCCAATTGATTGCAAAAATCGATTCCCCACTCCCCCCTCATTATTTCCCCATGATTTTCCCTATTAATTCAGCTTTAATTCATCAAATTTAATCTGCGTTTAACGGTCACCAATGATGTAGCCGACAAGCTTCCCCGGGTCATTTTTATCCCCAATTTTGCAGATTCGCTTCAATTATTGAGAAACAGAAAGAACTCCCTCATTATTTCTCCAATGATTTTCCTTATAAATCTGGCTTTAATTCACCAGATTTAATCTTCGTTTAACGGTCACCAATAATGCGGCCGACAAGCTTCCCCAGGTCATTTTTATCCCCCAGTTTTATGGATTCGCTTCGATTACGGGGAAATAGAAACAGAAGATTGAGTGGATTAAAAATCCACAACTAAATTTGGGAGATCGAGAAAGATTCGGCCAGATTTGATGCAAAGGATAGGCTACAGCATCATAGTAGCACATGACTGTCGTCCGGAGGTTGAAGACGCTAATGAAACGTGTGGGTCTAGCTTGGTAGCAAGAGGAGACATCGGCTATGCTAGCTGGGTCTGCAGCTCCACTTATGTATAGTGATCTTAATGTTTCAATATATTGCTTAGCTCCTAATAGTTGTTGTATATTAAAAAACACTTACCTGTTGCCAGGGGCGGACTGGTGTCAGACGACACCAACGACTTTCGGCAAAACCTATAGCATAACTGCTTATCTATGTTATAACAATATGATCTAAACATAATTAGCATACTATGACATCAATAGAAACGTTATGACACCAACGAATCGATTTTATGTATCCGCCATTGCCTGTTGCAACGCAGTCTTTTTCTAGTATATGAAATATAGCACAGGCGAGTGGCCTTGACGATGGCGGCCGGGGCTTGTGTCGATCTGTTGGAGGAATTGTCTGGTTGGGGAAGAACCACCTGTATCACTGGCCTAAATTCTGTATTCTACTACTTACCTATTGTCTGATGAAACTGTTGGCTGAATGGCTCCGGACCCACGAGTCCATCCACCTGCCACGAGAGGGCTAGATGGTTGCAGCTCTTTTCCTCCTCGTCAACGCGTCGAGCACAAGCGCGTGGCAGCCGTGGCCTGATGGCGCGCCGTGGAATTTGGGTAGGAGTGGATATACAATTGTATATGTTGATGATGTAACGTACGGTTGATTAATAATAAATTAGGTGGGAAAAGATCAGTTGTTACTCATAACAACGAAATTTCCTTACTGATAAGACATGCGTTCACATACTAGATTGTACAAGTTCTATCGTGTACAGACATGCCTGATGCCTACCTATAGTCCAATATACAGTATACTAGATTGTGATATCTCCAACGACAGTTGTTGAAGCCGCTGGCCATGAAGCAATCACGAAGGGAGGAAGTGGACGACGATGTGAGCGTTGGTAAGAAGGAGGAAGAAGCAGGATACTGCAGCAGCAGCAGCATCTCACGCCTCCCAGAGGCATGCCTGGCTCATGCAATCTCCTTCACCACTCCCACGGACGCCTGCCGCTGCTCCGCCGTCTCCGCCGACTTCCAAGCAGCGGCGAGCTCCAACGCCGTGTGGGAGCGCTTCCTGCCGCCGGACTACCACTCCATCCTCGCTCGAGCCGACGATCCTGTGGATTTCACCACTTCCAACAAGGAGCTCTTCCTCAGCCTCGCCCAGGACCACGTCCTTCTCGACCAACGCAGCAAGGTACGTATAATACCTAGGATTTAAGATTAGGGGGTGTGGGGGGTGGGGATAAGCCATAAGACTGAATTACCAATATCGATAGCAAAGGAGGTCAAGTAGTTACTGTCAATAACAATCAATGCGTGTAAACTAATCCTTTAAAAAAACTTGAATCTTAATTAGCTCTTTAATAATATCATTGAAAGTTTGGAACTAGTTTTTATTGTTAAATCCTTTTAATGTAAACTATTGAATAATCTCACAAATAAGTATATTCTATTTTACTTTGAAAAAGATGAGAAATCACAAACTAATTTTGTAGATCATGTTTCTTGCTAATGTTTTTTTAGACTTGCTAACTAAACTGATAATAATTTCAAGCTACACAAATAAACTAGATAAATACATATCTTAGTTAACCTCAATATAGAGTAAAAACAGGTGAGGGTGGCGGTGGTGGTGTTTGGATAGGAGGTGTTGGCCCCCTCCGGCACCCCCCACAGCTGTACCACTGTTAATACTCCCCATTGTTTTGGACATGATTTAGTCAAACTTTTAAACCTTATAATTCTAGCTACTCTTTGAGGCAAATAAGTACATACCGTAATTATTTGTTTTTAAACTAACCATTTCAGAAATCACTTGATGGTCAAGTTCCAAAAATATGACCGAATCTTGGCCTTAAGTGTGCATTTGGTTCATGATCATGCATGGATAAGATATGGTCATCCATATTTTATTGGATATGACGATCTAATTTTTTTTTGTTTGGTTTGTATGTATAGGATGATCAAATTTCTTGTTTAGTTGGAGGGATAGAGCATGGATGGGATAAGCCAAATTTAGTGGGACCCATTTGTCATATATATATATTTAATCAAAATATAATCATTCGAGATCTTGTTTTAAATATTTAATTGTAACTAATATAATGGTGTAATCAAATTATAAATTAGATAAACGGTTTAGGAGAAAAAAATCAAACCAAGCACAACTAATCAGAATATGACACGTCACCCATACGAAAGCATGGATGGCTTCATCCGGCCAAATAAGCCGTATACACTCATCTAGCATATTGAGGAAATATTCCCTTTTCTAGACCGCCCCATCCACATGTACCATAAAAAATCAAGCGGCTATCTCCCATCCAGTCTTATCCACCCAACCAAACACACCCTAAATGTCTAACGTTTGTAACCTAATGGAGTAGTATACAGTTAAGATGGTTAAAAAAGAACCATCACACCTCGCATTAGTCGGAGAGAAAAACAAAACACAATTGTATACAAAATATAAGTTATAGCCTTATAAGCATAGATTGATTGATAAATTTGTATACAAAATATGAGTACCTGAAACAAAAGCTAAGATTTATATATTAAATCTATTTTTACTTTTAAAATAGTTTATACAAATTACAACTATATGCACGGAAACATAAGATAAAGGTGTATATGAAATCTAATACTATTTTTAGTATCATATATAAATCATATATTTATAGAAACATAAGATATGAATTGTTTATCAAATTCTAATCCTACTTTTATCTAGCTCCGCACAAAAGTTTGCGAGAAAAAAACATTCATTGGTTATATTATTAAGATAGCTCGAAAAAGAAAATCATTAGTTTCACTCGGAAGGCATAGAAACCGTACCATATTAATTGAAAAAAGAAAATTATTTAAACCATTAGATTTTGATCTATTCAAATTATGATGGTGCAGAATTATCAATTGTGACATCCCAGCCTAGGGCTTAATAGGATTAATAGAATACTCATATCAATAAGTTGTAACTTCTTTTCTGGAAGCCGATCTCCAAAGAACTCCAGGGTTAAACGTGCTTGGCCTGGAGCAATTTTGCCTAGGGCTTAATAGGATTAATAGAATACTCATATCAATAAGTTGCAACTTCTTTTTCACACAGAGCAGTCTATGACCTATGAAAGTTGCCAGAACAGAGCAGTCTATGACCTATGAAAGCTGCCAGAACAGAGCAGTCTATGACCTATGAAAGCTGCCAGAACATCCCAGCATAAGGCTTAATAGGATTAATAGAATACTCATATCAATAAGTTGCAACTTCTTTTCCACACAGAGCAGTCTATGACCTATGAAAGCTGCCAGAACATACAACACAGAGTAGTCTATGACCTATGAAAGCTGCCAGAACATCCCAACCTAGGGCTTAATAGGATTAATAGAATACTCATATCAATAAGTTGCAACTTCTTTTCCACACAGAGCAGTCTATGACCTATGAAAGCTGCCAGAACATCCCAGCCTAGGGCTTAATAGAATTAATAGAATACTCATATCAATAAGTTGCAACTTCTTTTCCACACAGAGCAGTCTATGACCTATGAAAGCTGCTAGAACATACCACACAGAGTAGTCTATGACCTATGAAAGCTGCCAGAACATTCTAGCCTAGGGCTTAATAGGATTAATAGAATACTCATATCAACAAGTTGCTTAATAGAGTACTCATATTAACAAGTTGCAACTTCTTTTCCAGAAGCTGATCTCCAAAGAACTCCAGGGTCCTCCCGGGTGCGCACAAGTGAGGGGATGGGTGACCTCCCGGGTGCGCACAAGTGAGGACATGTGAGGACATGAAAGCTGCCATATGTAGTGTGCATAAAAGACTTGTGTGTCTCTATGAGGACAGTATATGACCTATGAAAACTGCCATATGTAGTGTGCATAAAAGACCTCCCGGGTGCGCACAAGTGAGGACATGTGACCTATGAAAGCTGCCATATGTAGTGTGCATAATGTAGTGTGTATAAAAGACTATGAAAGCTGCCATATATAGTGTGCATAAAAGACTTGACCTATGAAAGCTGCCATATGTAGTGTGCATAAAAGACTATGAAAGCTGTCATATATAGTGTGCATAAAAGACTTGTGTCTCTCTGGGAGGACATGAAAGCTGCCATATGTAGTCACTTAAAATAGGTCATAAAACGTTTCATAGTATATGACCTATGAAAGCTGTCATATGTAAGCGGTCCTGGCCTGGGAGAGGCGGGTCGTTACATCAATATAGTTGTTTTTAAAGAAAAAATAATTGTATTCACATAAATAAATGTCAACAGTTGTATATTAGTTCCAATCCCACTTTTGTTGTATTGTATACAAATAATTGTACCTACGAAAGTAGAAACTAAGAGTTGTAAATCAAATTCAATTCTATATTCTTAAATCTACTATATACAAAATACAATTGTATTGAGGAGCTACGAGTTGTATATTAAATCAAAGTCTAATATTACAATCTAGCTCCACGCAATGTTGCCAGGGAAAATCCATTATTTTGTTCAATATTAGTGCTAACTTCTTGTTATCTTGATGCTAAGTAAATGAATGCGCGCGACTAATTTGCACATTTGCATCCAGAGTTTTTGGTTGGAAAGAACAAGCGGAGCTAAATGCTACTTGCTATCATCCAGATCATTAGAGATAGCATGGGGGGATGATGCCCGGTACTGGAGATGGATCTACTTACCCGATTCCAGGTTTGCATCCCAAACGTGGAGGATAAATCTGAAGCACTTATTTTGCAAACATAATCACATATACATGACACTTCTTTTAGAAATACAAAATCATTAAGAAATAAACTATAATAAACATTCTCAATCAGATAGTGTTTAAATTCAATATACATACTATTCTTTGATTTGCTTTGATTTTTTTTCTCGATAATTAAACAAAAACCAAAGTTTCTCCTTGTTTCAGGTTTGAAAGAGTAGCTGCGCTTGTATTTGTCTGCTGGTTCCATTTGCGTGGCCGCATCAACTGCAGAGAGCTCTCACCCAACACACGATACATAGTCTATCTCATCTTCAAATTGGCAGATAAATCATACGGGCTTGACTGCCGGACACAAGAGGCATATATCACCATGGACGATCAAGTAGTGTCTGCCAAGCGCACCGTCTCTCTGCACCCACGCACGCAAGAGACACCTCTTGACATGGGTAGAAGCGAAGTAGGACGAGCAGAGGAGACAGTGAGCTATCCGAGAGAACGGGGTGACGGCTGGATGGAGGTACAACTGGGGCACTTCTACAACCACCAAGGAGATGGAATGGTTGTTATCAACCTGCAAGAGATCGTCCAGCTCAACTCGAAGAAAGGACTTATCCTCGAGGGTATGGAAATTAGACACAGCATTGGTCCTTAAGGAAGAACTGAAAAATGGAGCAAGTATGTTAATTAGAAGACAAAATTAAATAATGCAGTGTTGAATATGCACAAAGAGGAGTCATGATACAGCCAGCGGTAAGTGATCAGTTGCCGCTCCTAAGCCAATGAACCAGTACCAATAAATTGATTGGAACAATTTAAATTCAACTTTGGAAGTATGCCAACTTCATCTTCTCTTTCAAGTTTATTTGTTGTTACATTTCTGAAGGAAAAAGAAATACTCACATCCAGTTCTAGAATTAAATCAATTGCCACATTTGTGGTGGAACTATTGTATGTTATATACTTTTTTTGTGAAGCATGTCCCTATGGATTATATCCCTACAATCATTATGATCTATTTGTGATGTATTAATGTATTTTATATGTCAGATCTTTTTTCTTTTCTCATGTTAAAATTTCTGACCGATTACTGGTAACTAATTTTGGAATGCAAAATTCTGGGGTCTACATTTTATCTGGTGAAAATACCACTTATCTGTTTCCAGGGACACCGATATTTAAAAGAGAATGTTCTTTATGTTTCACTAAGTTTTCACTTAATCCCTTCTATGCCATAAGTTAATGTTTGGTCACTTATATGACTTTGAGTGTTCATTTCGATACAGTGCATGCACTCAGTATGACATAAATTATGTTTCATCCATTATATGACTTTGAGTGTTCATTTCAATACCCTGCACGCCTTCAGTAATTTTACCTCCTTTAGTGAAATCATATGGATGAAAAATATATCTGTACTTTTTTCGACGATGATATCTATAATTTGTTGAAGCGAGTATACAATATTTTGTAAGCCATAGGATCCTTTCCTACTAGGCTACTACCTTCAGCAGAAGAACAATAGAGAATGTCCACAAGCATCCCTTGGCCACTAGAACCTCTAGGAAAGGTACCAGATTTCACAAATGCAACATTGTCATGATATGACGCTGACCAGAGGCATATTCCTCCCTTATATTAAAAATAAATAAATAAATTCAATCTAACAGTATACTATGCCAACTGATATTATGACATAAACAGAATATGGAGATATATTAATTATTCGCAATTGAGTCACTAAGATATGATAAAGAACCAACTCACATCGCAAGAAGGGAATAGCATTTGTTTGAAGGACTCAGCTACGGTGGAAGCTAAACTTGTTCTGGGGACAATCTCAGCAGCTTCAGTGACAGCAGGAGGCTCGTGGGTGGCAACAATCGCATCCGGCTGGAAAGGAATCGGGCTGAAGACCATTCCCTGGAGAAGAAATCCCAAATTAAAGTTTCAATTAGAGGCCTAATAAAATTAGTGTTGTGAAAAAGAAGAAAGACGAAACTATGCGAGGCGGAGGAGGAAGGGGGGAAGATGGGAGTGTACTGACGAGGACATCCCCGTAGGCATCCTTGGCTCCATCGTCGGACAGCGCATCCGCCGCAACTGCAACGCACAGACTTGGAATGAGCAGCCCAGCTAGCAAGCGAAGCGGATTGGAGACAGCAGAGAGAGGGGGAGCAGGGAGTGGATAGCACACCTAGGTCGCGGTTGATCTCGCAGATGGTGACGGTGCCGGGCGGAGGGAAGCTCGGCATCGTCGTTGTCTTGCGTCGGCGAGCGGCGGCCGGTGCTCCGCGTCGCAGGACGGGTTAAACCCTTGACTCCCCCAGAGACCTGAGTACCCGTAGGCTACAGCCCAAGGCGATTTGGGCCGGAAGCCCACAAACATACTGGGCCGATATTGTATGTGATGGAATTGGAGTTCCGGGCCAAAATTATATGGGAAGCGTCGATGGCCTCAGGACGGGAGTGCTGGCACCTGGTTGAGGCCCACGATATCACAAACGCATCATCAGGCGTGCTGCAAAAAGTAGGAAAAAGTTCGTTTTTACTCGCTCAATTATTGGGCAAATCTGATTTGATTTGTATCACATAACCGTAAAACCCGATATATTGGCGATCCCTTCCACTATTAAGGTCCTCTTTGTTTAGGCTTATAAGTCAACTTATAAGCCAAAAAGTCTAAGCCTAAACAAACAAGCAGTTTTTTCGTTTGGCTTTCTTAAAGTTATAAGCCACTCTTACACTATTAAGCCAAAAGCTAAGTTGGAGAAGCTTTTTTTGGCTTATATAAGATAGATGTATGACTCTACCACTAAACTTAGGACATTAAATTCACTGGCTTATAAATCATATAAGCCAATAAGCTGACTTAAAAGTCTAAGCCAATAAGTTTAAGCCTAAACAAAGATGGCCAATATTTGAATCAGGGAGCTTAGATTAGCTAGGAATTCAAGATTAGTACTGCAAATTTCGAAATTTTTAGGCAAGAAAGTTTTTCGATATTTGAATTTTTTTTTTACCAAAATTGAATAGATTTTGTTAAACTTCACAAGAAAAATGATTTTATTTGGGTGTGATAGTTTCCTTGGGGGATGGTGTTGCAGAATTCCTAAATTTTTTAGAATCGAAATTGCAGACCATGATATAGGGGTACCTGTTGATACTGTAATATTGTATGAGACATGATATGTTTATGTCGGTTTTTCCCGTATGTTGAGCCCCTTCTATTTTTCATTCCTGGATCCGCCCTGGAAAAACTTAAAGCTTTATAATAGATATAATAAAGTATTGATAAGCCATCTTCAAATAAAGAAAAAAGTTATTTTATGCTGAAATGTTCGAGCGAGAAGCATTTTTGGTTATATGCAAACTCGTAGCAGTCCAATCCAAACCAAACCATGGTCTGATTTGCAAATGTTTTGGGCGTTAGATCGAAGATGGACGGTCAGATTGAGGCTCAGGATGAAGATGGATATTTGCAGAATAGCCCTTTTCATTCTTTGCAATTTTTTTTACTTCAGTCCCTTTACTCTGTCCTTTACTCCTTCCTGAAGAAGGCGGAGAAGCTCCGGCGAACTCCGGCAACTGCAGAGGAGAATCTCCGGCAAGGGGACGCCTACCTATTCCTCCTCCTCCTCCTCCTCTACAGTTCCAGTTCGATCGACACGGCCAAGAAGGCGAGGCCGGCGACCCGCAGTCTCCGCGTCCGATTGCCTCCTCTCGCGGCGGATCCGTGGACAGATCGATGGTGGCCACGTCGGCGGCCGTCTACCGGCGGGTGCTCAAGGCGGTGCAGAAGCACGTCGGCGGGGGGACTCCAAGAAGCACTTCCGCGAGTTCGTCGCCTCCGAGTTCCGCCGCCCCACTGGCACGGACGCCGACGCCAGAGCGCGGCTGCGGCTCGCCGGGGATTACGCCTACCTCCTCGCCAGCGTCCACCACCACAAGGTTGGAGCCATTTCTAGATGCGTATAATCTTCTCCTGTTTTGCGCATTGTTTTAGCAGATAAATGTGTTCGATGAAATGGCTAGAAGGCTTCTTTCCCCTTTCTATTTTTTTTTGACTGAAACTCCCCTTTCTATTGGGTTCCTTGCTATTTTTTTCCCCAAATCAAACTCTGATTAACGTGATGAATTGAACTTCCTTCGGTGTGTTTTAGTATACAAACTCGCAGTTGCTTCATTGCTAATTCCCACTTCCCAGTACATCACACCTAGTTTAGATTGGTTGTTCATGCACTGTATACCATGTTAACTCTGTAAATCATGTTTGATTGCCCAGGACCTGCTATTCTCGTATAATATAGCTGTGGACCGATCAGAGGAGATGAAGAAGATATTGAACAAATCTGCTGCCAGTGTAGGCCTTCAGCTTCCAGATGTCTATCAGGCGTGAGGAATTTCATTTTTGCAGAAATGTGCAATCTTTGGTACTGCCTTTTAGCGACCAGTAATTTGCTTTCAAATTCCAGATTTCAGTTAGTCTGGAAAGTTTAGCTTGTAAGCTGTAAGCAGCTGTATTTTTTTTTACCAAATAATGAGCAATGGAATCATTACTTAACAATTTACATTATCTTGGTCCTGCTTTATGGATTATTTTGTGAATGTCAAGCCCCTTCTGTGACTTGCTCCACATCTGCATCGTTAGCTTCACCTTTGTAGTACCATAAAGGCAGTAGAGCAATCTGAACTGTTGCATCATTAAGGTAGTAATCAATCAACAGAACTCTTTTCTTTTTATGTCCACATTACGGCCCACATGCTACAGAAATTAGAAACATATAGTGCAGGAAAGCGTGAACAGTGCAACATGGGCTTCTAGACGTAAACTAATACATTCTAAAAATTTTGGCTGAGGCATACAGTCATTCATTTTCTGTTTTTATTTATCATGTGTAATGCTAAGAATAATGTCAACTCATAATGGCCATGTATATGAACAGATTATCAATTTAGATGAGTAATACAGAGCTATAGTTCACATCCCCCAAATTTTGGGTAGAACTTCTATCTGAACTGTTACTTTTTCCAGCATTGTCCTCATTGCTTTCATCCTCAGATGCTGCTGCATTAGCTTCTATTGATGTTTGTTCTGAACTTGTGTTTGAACTAATAATTTCCTTACCACCATCTTCACTTATTTCGTCCTTATATTCTACAGTAGCTATTTCAGATGTTCGAGCACCTTCATTTGCTTGTTGTGCCCAAGTTGAAGCAAAAGGCACTAGTCTATCATCTTCATTCCTGTTCTTGTCATCTGGATTATCTTCAAAGGAACCATAGTCTATGTTCTGAAGCACTGTTGGGATCTGAATACCCCCAACAAGTATATCCTTGTTTCCCATCTCTAAATCAATCTTTTCCCTTGGATCAGTCAAATCCAGCGCAATATATGGAGTATAAAATCCAGCTTCCAGTGCGCCCTCACCTACCCATGAACGGAAATTGTTCTGGGGTGGAGGGATCTTGGTGAAGAACACATCTACAAAGTTTGCTGCAATGCTCTTTCGGTAGGGGTTGTCCTTGTTGTAGTGGTATCTGAAGTTTTCATATGTTGTCTGCAGAATTTGCAGTTGGATCTAGTTAGACATTCAGTACACAACTAAACACCGTGTATGGAGCTGCTAGTTGAAGTTATCAGAACTATCTCAAACTCTTAATACTGTCTACTCATTAAAATGCATTTACTGAATTACAGTATAAGAGAACCAGTAACTATAGCAAAGTCTCTAGAATAGCTAAAGAAGAAAGTAGGTTTACCTGATTAGTACTGATCAGATAAAGATGAAATACTGTGAGACCACCAACAAACCATACAACGATAAAAGTATATATGATTAGCACAAATGAGTATACTTCCTTTCGCAAAGCCTTCCAGATGGATCCGCCATTGTATCCCCTTTCATAGTAGACATTCACCCATGAAAAGATGAAAACAAATATGCACAGGAAAGTCGATGTCGCTACAAACAGAAAGAAGTAGCGGTAGTTCCTCTGCAAGAAAAAATAGAAAATGGCATGATTTTGATAAGCAAGTGGAAACCATCCGAGAGTGCAATGATTGATCACGCACTTAAGAATACTTTAACATCATTTCTGTATAAGAGATTTGTGAGTTGCTGAAATATAGAGTTCAGATGATCATTAGTGCTTGGTTAACCTGCTCTTTCACATAAGTTATTCCTTGACCTTAGGTTCACTGCATTAATTGCGAGAAATTCTTTTCGAAATATGTGCTTTAGTCCTAAAAAATGTATGTTAGGTACAGTTTAGGTCTTGCTCTGAAAATTTCATTGTTCTGTTCCCATAGGTGCCTAACCTTATCTGCACGTCTAGTCAAACAGTGGAACTAGTTAACAACTCATTCTTGATGATTTTGTAATTAAAAAATAGCTTACATTGAGCCTGGTGTAATTCAACTTAGATGATTGAGGAGTCCTTTTAGCTAAAAAGTAAAGTTATAACTCACAAATTCAAGTCTAAATGTCTTGTTAAGCTCTGTAGCTTTATGAATAACTTATAAATAGTCAAATGCTGAAGATGACTGGAAGGAATTTGGCTGGACATTAACCATTGGAGAGGGAAGAACTCTTTTGGCATATTTACCAGCATCTTATGGAAACTTGAAAGTAAGTTCATTCATTCCATAGAGCTTTTTTTTAAGAGAAATTCATTGCATAGTGGTTATACTCTACCATATTTCTAAAAACACTATGGAAACAAATAGTACTGGAACTGCACATTGAATTAGGCTGATGACTATACTGATTACTGCATCATTGATTGTTTACTTACAAGTCCAATGCATTGGCCGACCCATGGACAGTGGTGATCAAACTTTTCGACGCAGTTGTTGCAGATGGAGCAATGTGAGGATCGTGGTGGGCGGTACCTTAGGCAGGTCTCGCAAAACTTCACCTTCACCGTGAAGCCATTGACTGTAACATCCTTTGACCTACGGAACCTCATCCGCGGAGTTCTCCCTGAGCTCCACTCCATCGATGGTGTGGTTGAGCCAAGAAATTCATCGACTTCAGGTGGTGCTCTTGTGTTCCTTGGCACTATCCCTGGGTCCCTGGCTGATGTCATGAAGAGGAAGAAAAGGTCCTGCAATTTGAAGGTGAAATTCACATGACTGTACAGTGCTAGACATGTTGTATAGTGGAAATTAGACTTGTGGAATCTTGAACCCCTGATTGACTGATTTCAGTTTCAGATATTGAAGCTGAAATCACTGTGACTACCATGCGGATTAATTGTTTGGTATATGTCACTAGAGAACGGATTGGCAATCAAAATTATATGTGAAGAAGCAACTTATAAATGATTTGGGGATTCACTAACCGCTGCTGTTGTGATGATGACTATCAGCTGTGCAGCTCGATGCATCCGTTGTTGAGAGCGGTGGATTGTGGACTCCATCTGATAGCTGAAGACGATGGCCGGGCCAAGGATGAGAAACATGGAAAGCAGCAGGGAGGCTGCATCCGGGCCAATAATAAGGCGTCCACCACACAGGAATATCTGCAAAATGAAGGAAAATCAGTCTACCTCGCTGCTATGAAGTTGAAGAAGCTGTAGCCAGATCGCTGGAGCAAGAAAGAAAGAAAGAAAGAAAGAGCAGGTACGTTGTTTCCCTTCCAGACTTGGTAGAGCCTCTTGGGCTTGGCGTGCAGCTGCTGTGGGTCATTAGCCTCGAACTCCTGTGATGACGCCATGATCATGATTCATGGCAGCATGGCCTCCTCGCTGCTGCTGGTTGCATTGAGGGTGTTATGTGCCTGTGCTTAGCTTTGATCGACGAGGTCCCAGCTTTCGTTTTGATGTCATGCATAGTTGTTGCCGTTGTAGTACTTGTCTTGTACTCTTGTGTTGTTGGAGATGGAGGACAGTAGGCCAAGTTAGGAGCAACTAGCATAGAAAAATGTTGAGAAACAGGTGTGGACAAAGCTGAGGACTGGCCGGCGCCCCCAATATATCTGCTGTACTGTATGTATGTCCATCCGTGATCCCCGCTGGAAATACTCCATCCGTTCCATTTTAAGAGCAACCATAAGTTTCCATGCTTAATTTTAATCGTTCGTCTTATTTGATTTGTTTTTTTATAATTAGTATTTTTATTGTTATGAGATTATAAAACATGAATATTACTTTATGCGTGACTTATGTTTTTTTTTTGTTTTTTTTATTGTTTTTAAATAAGACAGATGATCAAAGTTGGACACAGAAAATCATGGTTGCATTTAAATTGGGACGAAGGGGAGTATATGCTTCCCTGTATTATTCTTGACTGTACTATGCCCTGCTCTGTGATCCCCTGCAGGGCAGAACTCCATGTAAGTGTATGATAAAAGATGCAGTGCTGTCAAGGAGCTGAAAGATCAATGAATTTATTTACAAAGATATGTTACAAGCAGAAGCTATGGTATTGGAGCTCTTAATTGGCGATTTGCTTTGTACAAGTCAGATTATATCAGAAACCGAATCTAAGCAACTAACTGTTCCAAGCTCTTAAGGATGACAAATTTATGAGATGACGGTTCAAATGCTGTTGTTATCCGTGAAGCTAGGGACTTTGTTTCCGTTTTGATGTAGTAAAGAGATGTACGTTCTGTCCTAGAGCTTGTAACAATATTGCCCATGAAATGGTGACGTTTGGCACTGCGTTGGGTCCCTCTGGACTGGTTGTATGGTTCCCTCTGTTTATCTGTACTCTAGTGAACAGTTCTTTGGAGTAATGGAAGCTTCTTTTCGGGAGGCTGGAAACTGAAGCAACATCAATCCAGTGATAATTATCGTATTATTCATTTGGGTGTGTGTTTTTAGAACTCGGGTAGTGCCCATTAGAGAAAGAAATAGTAGACCAGTTATACACTTGATTAATCACGTGGTATCGCATGAGAACGTAGTTTAGTCATTACTATATACTTGACATAAGCAAAATAGACAAGTATCAAATTTCAGAAACATGGGGGGTACTTGTTTGTTTCTTGGAAACTGGTAGGCAGATGGTAGGAGATTTTTAGGGAGAATGAGTCAAGCAAGAAAAGAAAGAGGAGCTACGTCCACGCTGCCCTTTGCTGACCAGTCCCAGACCTTTGCTACTCTGACTTGGGTTACTCCATGCATCCATTCCATCTAATCTACAACTTTAATCACTCCAATTAGCAATAAACACAATCTCTCAGTGTCAAATTAACACGACTGAAAATCCTAACACGTGTGCATATTTCTCTCCAAAAAATATCTGATCCATACTATGGCTTAAAACACGCACTCAGTTGTCATCTACTGCAACTACGAGTAAAAATCGACGTCCAAATTAATCAGAAACGCGACGCGTGGCACAAGCATGACAAATCTACACATGTATTAGCATTTTTTTTAACACGTACTACACATGTATTAACATTGACGTGATGACAAGTGACAGCCGCCCGTAATGAGTACTCACTCACTCCCTTCCATTTTAAGGAGGATGGCCATGATTTTCCGTGTCTAACTTTAATTGTTTGTCTTATTTAAAATATTTTTAAAAAAAGTTAAAAACATAAGTTTCGCATAAAGTACTATTTATGTGTTATCATCTTATAACAATAAAAGTACTAATTATAAATAAAATTAAATAAGATATATGATCAAAGTTTGTTAGGCACAGAAATGGAACTTGAGGGAGTAAGGAGCACCTAGATTTCCATTTTTCCTTTCGAAGAGCTGTGCGCTACAGTAGCCGTCCGATCCAAATCGTGCGGCTACTGGGTCACAGGCTACACGTCAGCCTGTCCTGCTGTACTCGATCAGTATAAAATTTGGGCTTTGACTCCGCGTACCCAAATACGCGGCCTTCTCCTATCAAAAAAAAAAAAACGCGGCCTTTTTCTCCTCTTCTTCCTCCGCCTCGGCCGGCGACTCCTCGCCGCCGTCGTAACCGCGTCCTCCCTCTCTCTCTCTCTCCCGAACCCGGAAACTTCTGGAAGCTTCTAGAAGCCCAGCCCAGCGCGGCGCGGCGCACGATGTGCGGGATCTTCGCGTACCTCAACTACAATGTGTCGCGGGAGCGCCGCTACATCCTCGAGGTCCTCTTCAATGGCCTCCGCCGCCTCGAGTACCGCGGCTACGACTCCTCCGGCATCGCCGTCGACGCCGACGTTCCCTCCTGCGCTTCTTCTTCTTCTTCTACGGCGGTGCCGGCCTATGCCGGGGCGTCCCCGCTGGTGTTCCGCCAGGAGGGCAAGATCGAGAACCTCGTACGATCCGTCTACTCCGGTCAGTGCCTTTTCCCTCCTGATTATGCTGAAAAATGGGTTGAATTTTGGGTTCTTGGGATGGATTTTTGCACGATTTCCATGTGCTATGTGGTCTGACTTGGCTGTATCACTTGGTAAAAGCTTTGGATTTTGATTGGGATCCATATCACATTTTGGGGAATATCATTATGTCGTTTAGCGATTTTGGGTTTAGTTATCCTTGCGAGGGAAATTCTTCTGTTCGCACTTTGCATTTTTGGGATTGGCATAGCATAGCTCCCAAAATTCTGGATCTCCTCAGAAAAGGTAGAATTTGACCCATTCGGATCAACTCTAAATCTTCTTGGGTTTATGGCATTTTCGGTGATTTATTCAATTTACCACTTGGAGAGCTGATTTCCTTTCTCTCTGGATTTCCTGACGATTTATACCGTATACAATTAGTCTCGGCTACAATTTTGGTGCTCTCTTGTACTCTATCTTTTGTCATGTTGGATGTTTGTGTATTTTTCAGAGGTTGATGAGAAGGATGTGAACCTGGACGCCGCCTTCAATGTGCATGCTGGAATTGCCCACACCAGGTGGGCCACGCATGGTGTGCCTGCCCCAAGGAACAGCCACCCCCAATCTTCTGGTGCCGGCGATGAGTTCTTGGTCGTCCACAATGGCATCATCACAAACTACGAGGTTCTTGTTTACCTTGCTCTTCTGAAGTTCTGATATTGTACTAGAATTCTTGTATAGTATTTCTCTCATCATCTTTACAGCTGGGGAATCCACATGCATTATTGCAACTATGGTGGATTTATGCTATTGGCCAACATGTTATCTTCCAAGCCCTGCACATGGGCTGTCTCCAATCTCCATAGACGCCTCACTATTGTTGTTAAATAATCTGCCGTTTAGTTGAAAGCTCATATGCTTTTACTGGAATAAAATAACTGCTGTAGATTAACTAGCAACTAGAATATCAGTGAGTTCTATCTCATTTTGCTAGATTATTGTCGTTGTAATGCAGAGAATATTATCTTATAGAAGTGGCAAATGACAATATACTGAATTCACAATAAGTTTATTAGACATTTATGAATCAGCCAACCATCTCAAACTTGGTTTCATGATCATGTGTAACCTCATGATACCATCTCAAATTAATGTAGCAAGAGATGATAATGATGTAAACAGATAAATTTCCATCATAACTTGGTATTTCTGATGTATCTGCTCAGGTTCTGAAAGAGACACTAATCCGGCACGGGTTCACCTTTGAGTCTGATACTGACACAGAAGTCATCCCTAAGTTGGCAAAGTTTGTTTTTGATAAGGCGCATGATGAAGAAGGTATTTATATTCTTGACAACAGACAAGATGTACTCCCTGATCTTTAGCTAAACCTTTCATTCTCAAGTTATAATTATATTATCATTTCTTTGGAGCAAGAATTATACTACTATGATCTATGTTGGAAACTAGATTTGCCACCTAAGAACTAGATGAGGCAATAAATATACCTTATTATGCTTTTCGCGCTCAGAAATTTTTATTTAGGCAATACATTACTCTTAACAAGGCAGGAGAATTCTTACAAAATTCAAAAGGAAAAGAAATCGGTAACTAGATTCTATATGTTGGTCTTACTGTACTAGTTCTAGTTAAGGCAACTTTTTATTATTTTCTCAGGTGATGTGACATTTAGCCAAGTTGTTATGGAAGTCATGAGGCAGCTTGAAGGAGCCTACGCACTTATCTTTAAAAGCCCACACTACCCCAATGAATTGATTGCATGCAAACGGGGCAGCACACTGATACTCGGTGTCAATGTAAGTGCATCCTGGTTTGTCTTAAACTATCAGCTAGGTTCTAATCAAGCATAGTAAAACAGTGATTTTTATTTTGTGTAAGAATTATGTGTTATGCTCTTGAGCTACATCTTTTGCTGTTCAAGTTGACTTTATTATGTAGTACTAGACCTAACATCAAAAGTTAACTTTAACTCTGTTGTCTCTTCACCGTTCTTATCTCCATCTGCTTCAAACATGTATTAGGTAAAAGTGTCAAACTAGAAAACATGAAGTGCATTTTCTCACAAATGTTGGCTTGTCAAAAGGTGCTAAGAACTACCATTTTTTTCTTCCCATAGAGTGGAACCTGCGATAAAATCCACACTCAATAGAGTAACTACGAACTACTTGCTCTGGTTAACTGCCACATGTTTTGTTCTATAAAAATGCAAACGTGAGAAACTGTGCAGTAGATTGCTTGCAGATTAAATAATTTTCTTTTATGGTGATGTTGGTTTGGTTAGAAGTTATCTTTTGTGTAATCATTTTTTTACACATATTTATAGATACTATAAATATTCTGCTTCCCTTTGACTTGGAAACATTTTTTTTATATTTGTAACTGTTGTCTCTATTTTCAGGAATTAAGTGGCCAAAATAGTGGGAAACCATTTCATGATGTCAAAGCTCTGACAACAAACGGGAAGCCCAAAGAATTATTCTTCTCTAGTGATTTATTTGCTATTGTGGAGCATACCAAGAATTATTTGGCTATCGAAGATGATGAAATTGTTCATATTAAGGTACTCTTCAGCTTTCTCTGTTGATTCACCTGCCTTATCTGTTCTATTTTGCCTTTACTTTCTTTTTTAGAAAGAAAGATCATTTTTAATGGGGGGCAATCTATCTTTTCTAGACCTAAAGTTATCTATTTCCTTTATACCATTTTTTCTGCCAATTTGACAATTGTACTTTTATTGTGTCACTGGTTTTTTATTGACTGAAATAATATGTGAACACGCTAGTGCAACAGTTCTTTTGTTTCTTTGACATCATTAGCCTTACATTTGATGCCTTGTCCAAGCTTTAACAATTTGGCCATTGCAGGATGGCAGTGTGTCTATCCTTAAGTTTGACCATGAGAAAGAGAAGCCAGCTTCTGTGCAACGAGCATTGTCTGTCCTTGAGATGGAAGTTGAGCAGATAAAGAAAGGAAGTTATGACCACTTCATGCAAAAGGAAATCCATGAACAGCCACATTCATTAACAACAACCATGAGGGGTAGAGTGAAGGATAGTGGTGTTCTTTTAGGAGGATTAAAGGAAAAGGAGTACCTCAAAACTATTAGGCGCAGTAGAAGGTTAGTTTTCATTGGCTGTGGTACAAGTTACAATGCTGCCTTGGCTGCAAGACCTTTTGTGGAGGAATTAACTGGTATGCCAACTTATTGTCCTGACTCCTTATGTAGAAATTTTAGATGTCAACATCAGTGACAATATGTATTAGCTACCTGTTTCTTGACCCAGATACTTCTTCCTTGCATTATTTGGACAATAGGTATTCCTGTGAC